ATCTTGAGGACAGAAACTTGGGCCTCAGAGAAATGATGTGATTTTTTTTTTTTTTTTCCCTAGTTCAGTGCTGGCTTTGGGCGATTTGTTGCGACTTTGCTGCATTTCATTTTATCTTCCATGCGTTTAATGGCTGAGGAAATAGCGGGACGGGGAGGTGGGGTCACCTTGCAGGTAACTGTGGTGGGGCTGAGACTTAGCTCGAGGCCTTGCCTCCGGGTCCTGGGCACTGCCTGGCAACCCCACGTCGCTGTCATCTCCCTGCTCTCTTCAGGGATGGTCCCCAGGACTTCTGCACTTGGTAGCGTGGCCACCAGCCCACCTGCACCCCCTACTCACCCTGCTAGCCTCCTACCTCTAGCCACCTCCCAACTAGTCATTATTTGTCAGGCACACAGGGCAGGTGACTTGGTGATGGGTCGGCGCCCCCAGCCTTTGGCCTGGCCATTCCCACCTGCGAGGAATGCCTTGCCTTCTCCATGCAAATGCGACGTGGGATCCTGGTTTGGATCCTGGGACACAAAAAAGGAAGGCAGCGGAAGAAGCAGTGAAATCTGAGTAAAGTCTGGAGTTTAATACCAAGTGCCAAAGTTCCTCGCGGTGACAGCTGAACCACGCCTGTGTAAGTTGTTACCTTAAGAGAAACTGAGTGGGGAGGCTACAGCAAAGCTCACGCAATCTTTGCTACTTTTCTGTAAATCTAACATTATAATAAAAACTTCATTTTAGAACATCTATGGAAAAGCAAAGTTTCCCTACCTGTAGGTCCCTGTCTGGTTCTCCCAGGCCTGTGGACAGATCAAAGGCAGGATGATTCTTCTTCTGCCTGTGTCTGCAGGGCGCTGGGCAGTCTCCCGTGGAGAGGGGGGCAGGCTTGGGCGGCTATGTCTGTCTGTCTGTCGGGAACAGTGGTCTTGAGGGCTGCCGAGGTAGACAAGGCCAAGTTCCTGCTGGCGTGGCCTGCTTGCGTCTGAGTTTCAACTCCAAGGGCAAGGTCAGGGCCACATACTTCTGGCCTCGTGCCCAGTGGGGGCCGTTCTGAGGGCACCGTGTCTGCTGCGGCACACCTGGAAGCTGGGGCTCCAGATCCTCTCCCTGCAGAGCCTTCTGGTGGCTGGCCATTTGGTCACGTGCACTGCTGTGCGGGAGCCAGGCGCCGCCAGCTTATCACCGCCGCTCGTCCTGCAGCCGGAAGCTGTGAACCAGGCCTCTGCATGTGCCTGGGGAGGTGCCCTGAAACCATACCGTTTTGCAGGTGGGGAAAACAGGATTGCAGGGTACGCTCCCCACACGCAGTGTGGAGAGACAGGTGTACAGAGACAGCCAGGCCAAGAGTCCCTGGGCCCCTCCCTCCTTAACCTTACCCACTGCTCCAGCAGAGGAGGGTTCCAGGCATTTCAAAGATGGGTGGGCCCCCGTGGAGTTTATCAGAGCTTCTGTCTCCCCATCCTGATGCAGCAGGAGCCAAGGAGGCCGCGGGAAGAGCACTGGGCGAGGAGTCAGGACCTGGGTTCTGGGCCAGGCTCACTCAGCCTGTGCCAGCTGTGACCTCCCACTGCCCCCTTCTGTAAAGAAGTGGGCTAGTCGTGCAGCCCATCAGAGGCTCTGAGGCTGGCGGCCCTCTTGCACTAGACGACAGGTCTAGGGACTGGAGGCCACTGGGAGGTGAATCTTCCCTCCGCCCCAGGCCTCACTGCAGTTTTCTCAGCCTCGGGCTTTGACGTCTCGGTGTTCAAGTTTTGGCTAAGAAACACTCAGTCGGCGCCTCTGTGTATCAGACCCAAGATTCCTGGGAGCAGCGGCCTTTGATGGAGCAGCTGGCTCCTGGCTCTGCTTCTGGGGGCACTCTTCCAGGCCTCACTTCCTGGGCCTCAGCAGGTAGAGTGACGGCGTTCCCTATACCCCAGGGTAGGGGTGCGGGGCCCGATACCGTGGCCCAGCAGCGGTCCGTCTGCTGCCCGTCACCTTCGCCAAGAAAAATTATGTCGCGGACGCACCGTGAGCCCGCCTCACAGCTGCCTCCCCAAGAGATCACCGCTCGGTCTCTGCACGGCCCTTACTCTCCGGGAGCTGCACCCACAGATTGCGGCGGGACCCCGAGGATTCAACCCAGGAGTCCGGGCCTCCGGCTGCTTCGCAACAGCCCCGCCTCCGCTCGCAGCTCAAGCCAGACACCAGGTGCCCGCCAGCGACGGCACATCCGCACGCCCCTGACCTGCCGTGCTGTCTGTCCAGCCGGGCTGCCCGCCTCCTGCTTCCACGGGATCCATGTTGCAAATCAGCTCGCTCTGCTCCCCGGGCCTGCCACTGCCTCGAGACAGAGCCTGAGCCCTTACCCTTGTGCTGGAAGCTCTCTGGTGGCCCTGCCTGACCCCCCCAACCCCTCACCTACTGCCTCTCTTGTTCACTGCCCTCCAACCTCAGTTGCTGGCTGGCTCTTCCTCTACAAGTTCTTCTGGTTGGCCGCCACTGCCCTGCAGGCCCCCAGACCTTGCCCTGGCCTCAGGTCCAGTCCCCCACCTCCTCCCTGAATACTGGTTATTCATTGTTTGTCTGCCCCCACCCTCTGCCCCAGAGTTTCCCCGGGGAACAATGGTGAAACTGGTGTCCCCTGCGACCGGAATAACGCCTGGCACCTTTGTGGCTGCAGGACGCCTGAACGGAGGCAGAAAGAATGAAGACGGAGCAGCCCCGGAGGGGCCGTCACAGGGGGGCTGGGCGAGCTGTCCCCTACCCTGACTCCGGGATATGGCTCTAGGGCTGAGAGGGAAGGGTCGGCCTACCCCGGCTGGTAGGCTCGCAGGGCTGCAGGGGGCAGTGCTGAGGTGGTGGGGTAGGGCACCGAGAAAAATGCGGGCTCACCCGCACCTCCCGCTCTGGCCCCGGCCTGTGGGGAACGCGCCCGGCCGGCCGAGCTCTCCCGACTGGGCCAGGGCCCCGCGCGGCAGGTGTCCCTAACGGCGGAGGCGGAGGGCATGGAGGCGATCAGGGCGGGACACCGGCAGGAGGCGGCTGCCCTGGGCGCCCCGTCCTCCCCGCCACTGTCGCGAGGGCTGCAGGGGGCGTGGACAGAGTGGGCCAGGCTAGGGTCGAGCCAGGGCTCCGGGCCGGTCACCCGACCGCTTGTTGCGCCCTCGCTCCTCCGCCCAGACTTCCCGGGAAGGCTGCGCGGCGCGCGGGGGCCTGGCCGGCGAGGCGCGGGCGTGGCCCCGCCAGGCCCCGCCCACCCTCCTGGGGCTGGGTATCGGGCGGGGCGGGATGGGGGGCGAGGGCCCGACGCTTCGGGGGAGCCGAGGAAACCCCCCCCCCCGGTGGGTGGCGCCGCGTGTCGTTATGGACAGGATGCGGTGCCCGGCCACGAGACCACAAATTCTCGCGCGCCCCTCCCCGCGCCTGGGCCCGGCCTCGCCTCCGGGAGCCGAGTCCCCGCGCCCTTGGGGGACCGCGCAAGTGACCCCGCACGGAAATCCAGAGGGCGGCCGAGGACCGCGGAAGAGGCTAGCCCAGAGGCCGCGCAAGCTGGGGCTGGAGCCCGGGGGCGCCCTGACCTGTCCAGACTCGCACCGTCTCCGGGGATGCGCGCAGGGGCCGCCCGCAGCCCTTCTGCGCTCCCGCTGTTAGCGGCCCTCAGGCCTGGCGTCGGAGCCGTCCGCCGCACCCCCGCGTCTCCTCTGCCTCGGCGGGGTGCGGGCAGGCGCGGCACCCTGATTCCTAGGCCCGCATCAGCGCGCACCTCTCCGGGTGGGCCACGGGCTGGGAATCGGGACACCCCCGAGGGGCAGCGAACTTGAAGGCCTGGGCCAGGAGACGGCGCCCAGCTCCGAGGCGGGCCCGGTGTGATTCCCAGGTGGGCCGCCAGGTGGGTCCCGCTAGCGGGGTTGGGCGCCTGGGGCTTAGCGAGAAATCCAGGCTGCACCGGTCTGCGCCGCCCTCTCCCCGCTACGCGGTGGGCCGAGCCCTCCCCAGCGCAGGGAGGGACCCCTACGGCCACTGACGGGGTTGGGGAGGCGCCCGGCACTGCGGGCCAGCCGCTGAGTCACTGCCGCCAGAGAGTGAGGGGAGTAGCCGGTGACCTCAACCAGTGCCGACGCAGGGAGAGAAGGTGGGATTGGGGTCAGCCGGTACCCAAGGCAACGGAAGGGGGAGGGCCGGGGCCTCGACTCAGCCAGACGGGGCCAGCCCACCATGATGCCCAGGTACCTTCTGTCCAGGAACAGACAGCGGCCACAGGGGGACACCAAAGCCAGGGCAGACCTGGACCTGATTCTCGGAATACACAGTGCTGGTGCCCAGGGGATGGGGACGCAGGGGTCCAAGCAGCCATGCCCTGTCTGCTTCCTGGGCACACTGGGTTATTTTGACAGCTAGGCCACCCAGGCAGATGGCCAATGATAAGCAATTCAGAGAGAATGACATGGGGGCTCAGAGGCTGAGGCAAGTCCCAGGTCCCACGGCCGGAAAGGTGGGGCCCGGAGACAGCCAACTCTTTACTCACCCTGCTAGCTATGGGAGGCCCGCCCGTGTTGGAGGACAGAGGGGGTGAGTCCATTCCACTTGTCCAGGGGCCCTCCCAGGGCTGTGAGCGGCTGGGCCAGCCCCAGGAAGATGGCAGCAGGCGCTGGAGTGCCCCACTAGGGCAGTGGGGAGCCACAGAATGCCCTGGGGTGGGGTAGCGCGGAGGAACAGAGGTCGCCCTGAAGGTGGAGTGGGGGGGGTGGGGGGTGCAGAGACAGCATACTGCGAGGAAAGACAGATGATGCTCTTGGGCATTCGGGACACCTCCACCTCCCTCGGTGACGGGTGGGTTGGCCCCACCGTACCACCGGGGACTGCGGGAGCCCACCCCCAGGAGGGGCCCCTACCCATAAGCACCCGGAGCGAACCTGCAGCTTAGCTGTGCTGAGCACCTTCCCAGACCCCTCTCTCCAGGCCCAGCTTTACGCCAGGGCGGACGGAGTTTGGTGGGCCCCCTGGCAGGGCGGGGTACCCGCACAGGCCTGTATTTTACCCTACCTGGGAAGGGTAGTTTGGGGAGTGAGGAAAATTCATGTTGAAAATGTTCCCTTTAGGGCACCTGGGTGGCTCAGCCGGTTGAGCATCTGACTTCGGCTCAGGTCATGATCTCGCACTCAGTTTGTGAGTTCGAACCCCGCGTCGGGCTCTGTGCTGCCGGCTCGGAGCCTGGAGCCCGCTTCGGATCCTGTGTCTCCCTCTCTCTCTGCCCCTCCCCTGCTCACATTCTGTCTCTCTCTCAAAATTAACTAAACATAACCATAATAATAAAGAAAATGTTCCCTTTGGATTTTGAAGTCTTGACTCTGTGTCTTGTTTATGCTGTTGTTTTGGGGAATGAGTGTCATTTGAATCCTGATCCAATGTTCAGGATTGTTTTGTGTTTTCTCTATGAAGCTTTAGGCTTCTCTGTTTCTGCTGGTCTGAGATCTCTGGGTGTGCTTCTGGTGAAGTCTCTTTGTCTGGACCACTTCTAGGCCCTGGCCACTCAGTACTCTTCGGTTCTGGTGAAACGTCGAAATGTCTTGTGTCCCTTCTATCGCAGTTTGTTTCTTTCCTGCTTTATTTTTTTCAGCGTTTCTGTTTTGGGATTTCTGTTATTGGGCGTCTTATCTCTCAGATGAGTCCTTTAACATTATTCCTGTTTCTGCTTCCCCCCCCCCCCCCCCCCCCCCCCGCCCCCAACTCTCTGGGACATTTCTTTGCCTTCTTCTAACCCCG